GAAGAAAAAGAGAGAGTAAGCTAGGTCCAAAATCGTTTCTCAGTATTCTGTACATCAAAATTAAATCTCCTCTTAATCTGCGATAGAACAGTGTGAAGAGATCTAGCTTTTCAAGCCGCTCTTTGTATGGTAAACCCCGGAGTTCTGGAATTGCACGGGTAGCTGCCCTCTGTACTTTTTCTAGGATATCCGAGTCACCTTTTAAACATGAGCTTGCAGCCTGAACGCAGTTCTCACTAAAGACGTGTATACTATGTTGAACATGATAGTATCTAGCTTTGTGAATGTCCGTTTTAAAGCCCAGAGAGTTCGAAACCCCTTAGCTGCGACCTCCCGGCAATGGGTCGTCGTCTTAAGCGCTCGGACTTTTATACGGCGTTCTTAAGTCCAAAAGTCATGCGAAGAAATTCAAAAAGACCGAAAGTAGTGATAATCATCGTCTTTTACATATCTTCTGGTGCTATCTGTATTCGATAGCAAACCTTAGAAAAAATGGACTTGCTGTCTGGCGTCAGTGAAAATTCGTGAATATGTGGAACGGGATATATATATGTTGCCAAGTTGTTCAAGCTCCTACAATCACCATACGGAAACAAGTCTTATATTATTTTCACTAACATATGAAGTGATTGTAGCATTAAATAAATACTCAAAATCAATAGCTCTATAAGTTTTCGACATTGGATGCTGGCCACATTAGTTTTAATGAACTCACCTGGCTGAAGGTGCTCGGTCACGCATCCGCATCAGATCAGGAGTGGGAACACCGTGCTCAACATCTACTGCAATCGCTAGCCAGATTAGTTCAGACGATCCTCGATATGTTGAAAGCCTATCAAATATATCTTCGAACCTCCTCACTTCTGTCTTTTGATTTCACTTGGTGGGTCCGCTTCATATTAGGTGTTACTGGTTAAAGCGTTGTCAAACTCCGAATACCTGTGGCATATTTGTTATAACGTGTGATCCGCCTATTGGAGAGCAGCCTACTATCGATCGAAACAGTGACGCATAAAACACGAGCGAGCAGCCTAGAGCTCTGATTGGTCCTGCTTCCCTGTCTAGCCCAGCCAATTGAGTCCAGAACACAAGTCTCAGCCTCGGAGATATGAATCATTATATTTCAAACATACTCTGTTTATATAGCAATCAAACAGACTACATCGTACCATAAAATAGAAAGTAACATTTGTACAAGATTTAACCTTCAGGAAATGACACAAATAAATATTGACCAATGGGGAAATGACACTACTTCTCATTCAGGAATAGCATTAGATAATTTCTGGGGTATTTTCTGAATACCCCAACAATATTCATGATGCCCATGAACTACAGGAAGAGTCAATCATCCATGAGTTGTGGCCAGTTTTTCTGTGATTGGGCAGCGAAAACGAGCGTCTACTGGTTGACCACTCGTAATAATGTAATGTAATACTGTATTTAATCTTTTTCTGATAAGTTGGCATTCTAGCTCCAGATAGCAACCGGAAAATGATCGCTTGCAGGGAAATTTATTTTGATGGTATGTACCGAATAATCGAGAAAAAATGCTGCTGACGTGTAGCTTTTGTTTGTTAGCATAGACCATTAAGTTATGAGCTCGGAAAGCTTGTACTTACGTTTAGATAAAGGACATCCGCCACAACGTATACCCAACTTGAAAGCCATTTGGTTCCGAGATCTAAGATGTGTAACTGTTTTCTGAATGTCTTTAGTTCCAGTTAGTTTGCTGCACTTACTAAGTATCTGCTGTTACTGCCTGCTCTCTACATTTTTCCGCATGGAAAGTGGAAGTATTTACGGGTGGCAGTCTTTTCTTGTTATACCAACAGACACATCATTCTGCCATCGATGCTTTTGAACGTTGCCGTCTGTTACTTTGGCCTCCAGACTTCTCCCTGTAGATAAGGCTGACATCTGGAGTCATGATTCTTTTAGTTTGGACCTTAGGGCAGGAGGCTTTGTTGTGTATTGACCTTTGAGGTCTGTTAGCTCTTCCACCGGGATTTGTTGGAGTGATTCGTACATCAAAAACAGATCGCATGCATGGGGTATGATTAGGCGTTACCTATAGAACTTTGTCTGCTATTCCGACCACATTATCCAAATGTCGAGGCTAATAGGAAGAGCAAAAGCTTTATCTTGCTGTCTTTGTTGAGCGTCACACCTAGGTTTCTCTTAGAAAATGGTCGACAACCTTGTAAGGTTCAGTTAATTAACTATCTTTAGTGACAAGAAAATTCGTTTCAGGTTCGGTCTACTTCCTGCAAATAATCATTAGTGTATTGCTTTCTTTATTCTCGCTAAATCCAGTTGTATATACAAGTTAACCGTAAACCTTGTTTTCCATCTTATAATTACCTCTGAAGTGAATTAGCTAATGGGATATCGCAAAATTGTTGACTAATATTCAAGCGGGTCGCCATTTGTAGCATGGTCACATTCCCAACCCAATAGTCTATAGGGAAGGTTTTTGGGATGCGTTATGTAAATTAACCGTTGATTAATCAAATGTGATACGCAATCTAAAATTTAAAAAAAAACGAGTACCGTTGTACCTTAGACTCTTTGACGTCAAATCCCATTAGTAATGACATTTAGTGATGAGTGAATGTTACTTTTCCACACGCCAAATGAGAGAACAGAACTGTTCAGCCGTGGTTCTTGCACAGCAACTGTCTGATGCCATGATTAATTTTAAAACATTGAAGTGTAAAACAAAAAGACTATATTTTTATTTATTTAAACACATAAATATGGGTTTAAAAGGGCACCAAGTACATATGCGCCACATAAGTCACTTGATTTGTGTGTGTGCTGTGATACTGCTCGGGTGTTCAGACCGAAACAAGTGGTTTTCCTAGGGGGCCACAGCCGGAGCCTTTGATCTAAGGATCTGGCCCGCGACGCAGTGCCACGTCGTGAGATGCAGTCCCATTGTAGTCGGTGATCAATAGTTGGTTTATACGCCATTTGTTCCTTCAGGATACTGGAGCCCATATGCACCACTGGTTTGGAGTCAGGATTTTCCAACTTTCATAGGTGGATTCTCCGTGTCCACCAACCTGGTTAAAGCGTCAGACATTCGCTTCTGGTCCTCTCAACTCCGTAAACAACACCGCTGCGAGGAAGCAATGAGTAGGACCTCCCTAACAGTGTCTGTATACGTGTAGCCACGTGACAACATTTCGAGAGGGAGAGTTGACACCCCACCCTTGGTCGTACCAGGGCATTTGGGTGCACAGATTATGACACGGATTCATCAAGAGAGTATGTCGTAAACTTAAAAGGGTAAAATGTTTACTTGTCTACACTATTTATAGGTCACCAAGCAAATAAAACAGATATTGATGAGTAAGTATCATTACCAAGATTTGATTTGATAATTTCGAATAGATTAAGCATTGGGTAGATTGTTATAAATAAATAATATATTTGTAATATCCCGATGAGTAGAAAAATTAGATTTTTTGACGTTTCATGACTTAGTGTAAGTCACTTCTTCAGAAAATAAATAACCAAATTAAAACTAATCCAAGATATTGATGAGCAAGAGATGGTATTTCTCATTTCTACATATTACAGACTAAAACTAACGAATAATCAGTTTAAAAGTTTCCATTAGCTCCAACTTATGTAACTGGTCTACATATGTAAATTATTGAGGTCAGATGTGATTTACTGACATAGAGCTTTCCAATTTCGCAACCAAAAAGCTATCTATAATACAATAGTGCACTGATCGATGTTTTAAGAAGGTCAATATGAATCAACATATTAGCTTCCGAATGAATTAAGAGAAACAAATATTCTGTGCCGATGACCAGATTTCTAATATATTAATTAACATACTGTGATTTGAAAACTATCGGTCTATGCCTAATTTTAAGAGGATCTAGTACCAAATCTTAAGTTTATGTTTCATTTATAAATCAAATACGTTAAAATAGAAATTGATATTTAAGCAGAAATTTTCAAGAAAGCAACCTAGCGGATTAAGTAATTAACTGCCAAAAATTTAATTGACTGAGAATACTGTTTCTATTATCCTTAGCCTTTTAATAAGAATCTAAAGTTTAAAAATAAAACGATTTTTGAAAAATTTAATGGTAATCCTCGGAATAAATATCCAGGATATTTTGTTGGTAAAATTTTAGATGATACAATTTGTGACTGGAAAAAGGTCCTAAAGTCATGACTTTGAACAAAAGTTATGTGACGCAAGTAAACTATTTTGCATTAATTAAAAGGCGAGATTATAGTATTTTATAAAACGGTGGAGGCAGCATAATACATACGGGAAAACTCTAATTTCAATCCATTTACTATCGAAGTAATCAATCAAACACATGTTTTTAGACTTGGTTTTGAACCACATCATTTGTGACACTATCCGGATGCTTAAATGGAATTAGATGAAGGTGGACTCCAAAATGAGAAATAAAGGGTAGAAGCTATGTGAACTACCCACTTAATCACTGGTTTAAATAATTTTGTTCGTAAAACAAATCGTCTAGATAGTGAATTTGTGTACGAAAAGCTTAGCTTAAATCAAAGTTATAAGGAACACAAAAGAAACGAGAAGCTCTGTTGAACTTACAGAAATTAAAAACAAATCATCAACAGTCTTAAAATAATAAACTAAGCGGCAAAATGATTCATATATCAAAAGAAACGCTTCATAAATGAATAAATTCACATGAAAATGAGCTTAATTACCAATGTCTTTACAAGTAACATTCCTAATAGGATGCTGAATACTACAGAAGCACTAAGGAATGAAATAAGACTTCTTTTCTGTTTGTTTTTTCTAAGATGCATCAACAAGGGTGTCATCATAAAAATATATTTCTTCGTGCAGTTACTTTGGTTTCTAAATATATCTCTTAAGTTTCTCATGATGAAATCAAAAGTATGGTGTGGTTGAGTTACTATGCAAGACTGACGCACCAGAATAACTATTTGATAACTTTACTACGCTTAAAGAACGAGAATTTCATATAATTAGACACATTTATTAGAAATTAGTTCCATATTACATTTGGGTATTAAAGGAAAACATGCTAATACATAAAAAGGTTCGTGATTTTAAGTAATTACCCAAATAATCTAAGCAGTCTTAAAAATATGAGAATGAGAAGTTAAAGCAATAGAACTAAAAATATTTTCACAAAGCCCATAGCTTTTTCACGGCTGAAATAAATCCTATGTCATTAAAATTGAAATACAAAAGGCCAGCATAACCGCAACCAGCCATAACTTTCCATAATGTGCGTAATATGGGCATGAGTGCAGGACCATAACGACGTTCAAATGCATAGTCTTTGATAACACCGTCAAATCCCCTAAAGTGTACATGAAAAATTACCGTTACAATCTTTAATTTACGCATATTTTAATTCAATTATATAAGATGGTGGTTAACATGAAATTTAGTTGAAAGTATATCCAATAACAGATATATATAAAACATGGGTTCAACAATCATAATCAATATACGGTCTGTGACAAAGGTGTATGAACCCAGGTTGCCATATCACATTAGCATAACATAAGATTACTAAGATAAGTAGCACACAAGTCTGAGTAATAATTATATCAATGATATTGAGGTCTAAATATTCAAGTGATTCTAGGGAAATAAATATTTACAGTATTCTAACGCTAATCGAATAGTTGGACAGTGAATAAAACTATCTTTTAGGAAAAAATGAACGTCGAATGTACATACAGGTAATTAGTAAACTAATCATGCCATACAATCAATAGAGTAACATATCATGAATCTTAAACTTCGCCTGTAGCTCTCCTACAGTTACTGCCGGTCCCAAGCCCGGATAAAGGAGGAGGGTTGGGCATGGGGTTAGCGTCCCCATCCCGTAGAAAACTAACTCGCTAAAAAACGCTAACCAGAAAAAATAACTCAAACCATTTAAACTCTGAACTGGGAGTTAGAATGTCTTCATTTAGAAGAAATATGACGCCTCAGGGTGAAGGCCGAGTTCCTTCGGAAGCCATAAGGCCGATGCCCCTTCTAACAACCAGAACAACAAGTTCTATAGGTACATGGAACGTCCGGAAAATGTGGGAGATCAGGAAGACAAGTCGAATAGCAACGGAAACAAAGAGATACAACTTGGTAGTACTCGGAATCAGCGAAACCCATTGGACCCAAGCTGGACAACAAAGGCTAAATAAGGGAGAGATGCTGCTATACTCCGGTCACGAAGAGGAAAATGCTCCACACACTCAGGGAGTTGCTCTAATGCTATCCAAAGTAGCACGAAATACACTTGTAGGATGGGAATCTCACGGATCCAGAATCATCAAAGCATCATTCAAAACAAAGAAGGAGGGGATCACAATGAACATTATCCAATGTTATGCACCCACCAATGATAGCAACGACGACGTTAAAGATCAATTCTATGAGAGGCTGCAATCAATCAGAGTAGTGCCCAAGAAAGGACCTCACCATTCTGATGGGAGATCTAAACGCCAAAGTCGGAATGGACAACACCGGATATGAAGATATCATGGGACTGCATGGACTGGGGGAGAGGGACGAAAACGGGGAAAGATTTGCAGATCTATGTGCATTCAACAAATTGGTCATAGGTGGCACAATATTTCCACACAAACATATACACAAAGCTACATGGATCTCACCGGACCACACCACAGAGAACCAGATAGATCATATTTGCATCAATAAAATGTTCCGAAGGACAATGGAAGATGTGAGAACCAGGAGAGGAGCGGACATAGCTTCAGATCACCACCTGGCTGTGGCCAAAGTGAAACTGAATCTAAAAAACACTGGACAACTGGACAAACATCACCACAAAGGTTCAATACAGCCTTCCTTCGAGATACTGACAAACTCAATGAATTCAAGATAGCTCTCAACAACAGGTTCCAAGCCCTACAGGATCTACTGAAGGAAGAAGAAACTACTATGGAGGATAACTGGAAAGGTATCAAAGAAGCACTAACTTCAACGTGTCAAGAGGTTCTGGGCCCCAAGAAGCGTCATCACAAGGAATGGATCTTTATAGAAACACTGGACAGGATCATAGAAAGGAAAAACAAGATGACAGCAATTAACAACAGCCAAACAAGAACACAGAAAGTCCAAGCAAAAGCTGAGTATACAGAATCAAACAAGCAAGTGAAGAAGAGCATTAGAGACGACAAGCAGAAATACGTGGAAGAACTAGCAACAACGGCGGAAAAAGCTGCAAGAGAAGGAAATATGAAACAGCTTTACGATGCAACGAAGAAACTAGCAGGGAAATACAGTAAACCAGAGAAACCGGTCAATGACAAAGGCAAGACAATCACCGAGATTCAAGAACAGAGAGATAGAATACTTCGAGGAACTCCTGAACAGACCGGCTCCAATGAATCCACCGGACATCGAAGCAGCACACACAGATCTTCCTATAAATGTCAATCCATCAACGACCGAAGAAATCAGAATGGCCATCAGACAAATCAAGAGCGGGAAGGCAGCAGGACCTGACAATATACCAGCTGAAGCACTGAAGTCAGACATCGAAGTAACTACGAACATGCTTCATCTTCTATTCAAGAAGATTTGGGAGGAAGAACAAGTGCCGATGGACTGGAAAGAAGGACACCTTATCAAGATTCCAAAGAAAGGAGATCTGAGCAAGTGTGAAAACTACAGAGGCATCACACTACTGTCAATACCGGGTAAAGTCTTCAACAGAGTGTTACTGAACAGGATGAAAGACGCAGTTGACGCTCAACTTCGAGATCAACAAGCTGGATTCCGTAAGGATCGGTCGTGCACAGACCAGATTGCGACACTACGGATCATCGTCGAACAATCAATTGAGTGGAACTCGTCACTCTACATCAACTTCATTGATGATGAGAAGGCATTTGACAGTGTAGATAGGAGGACGTTATGGAAACTTCTTCGACACTACGGAGTTCCTGAGAAGATTGTCAACATTATCCGGAACTCATACGACGGACTGCAGTGCAAAGTAGTGCACGGAGGACAGCTGACAGATGCATTCCAAGTAAGGACCGGAGTCAGACGAGGCTGTCTACTCTCTCCCTTCCTCTTTCTTCTGGTGGTCGACTGGATTATGAAGACCTCTACATCTGAGGGAAAACACGGCTTACAATGGACAGCTCAGAACAAATTAGACGATTTGGACTTCGCAGATGACCTGGCCCTCCTATCGCATACACACGAAAAAATGCAGATAAAGACAGCCAGCATAGCATCAGTCTCTGCATCAGTAGGCCTCAACATACACAAAGGGAAAACCAAGGTCCTCAAATACAACACGGAGAACGGCAATCCAATCACTCTTCATGGCAAAACTCTGGAAGATGTGGGATCCTTCACATACCTGGGAAGCATCGTCGACAAACAAGGAGGTTCAGATGCAGACGTAAACGCGAGGATCGGCAAAGCAAGGGCCGCATTCCTTCAACTGAAGAACATATGGAACTCAAAACAACTTTCAACCAATATCAAAGTCAGAATCTTCAATACGAACGTCAAGGCAGTTCTACTGTACGGAGCTGAAACTCGGAGAACTACAACAACCACCATCAAGAAGGTACAAGTATTTATCAATAGCTGTCTACTCAAGATACTCAACATCCATTGGCCGGATACCATCAGCAACAGCCTTCTGTGGGAGAGAACAAACCAACTTCCAGCTGAAGAGGAAATTAGGGAAAGACGATGGAAATGGATAGGACATACATTACGCAAATCATCAAACTGCATGACGAGGTAAGTGCTAACTTGGAATCCTGAAGGAAAGCGGAAAAAGAGGATGGCCAAAGAACACATTACGTCGGGAAATGGAATCAGATATGAAAAGGATGAAAAACAACTGGAAAGAGCCGGAAAGGATTGCCCAGGACAGGGTTGGATGGAGAATGCTGGTGAGCGGCCTCTGCTCCTTCGCGAGGAGTAATAGGCGTAAGTAAGTATCATGAATCTTAACAAAAATATAAGTGAGTGAAATTAACTTTTAACTTATAAGCTAACAATGTTATAAATTATTAAAAACATCTACATTATGAATTCAACACAGTGAAAGAACTACTTTTGCATAGTACCGAGTATCATACAAATTACCTAAATAACCAAAGTACCTCTATATGGAAAGTTAATGTCGTTTATTCTGAACAAATGGGTGGAGTTAGATGTCCAAAAAGTTAACTACTTTCAGCTCACGTCGGGCGATGATGAAACATTCTAATGTTAGTACTTCGCTAATGTCAAAGATTTCACCCCGAAGATGTAGAGTAACTGCCCCCAAATGCCCTGGTATGGTCGAGAGTGGGATGGGTTCACCCTCCCTCTCGAAATACTCTCACACGGCCACGCGTATACAGCCTCTGCCAGTGAAGTCCTACTCACTGCCCTCTCGTGGCGGGGGTGTTGTTTACGAAGATGAGAGGACGAAAAGCGAACGTCCGGCGCTATAACCGGATCCCAAATCAATGGTGCACATGGGCTCCAGTATCCTGCGGGAACAAATGGCGTATGAACCAATTTCTTGGTCATCGGCTTCCATGGGACTGCATCTCCTCAGATAACGAGCTGGAAGCAGCAGCTGCATCTGGTAATTACCGGAAGCACTTCCAACTCATCCGAGCCACTGGCAGCAAGAAGTCTCATGTGAGCGAAACAATCTGCGAGAATGACGGAACGCCAATCACTAACATTTATTATATTTATTATTTATTTGAACACATAAATATTGGTACAGGAGGGCACCAAATATATATGCGCCACACAAAACAATGAGAATTTAAAGAGAATGGAAAAAGGTAAGGAACGTAGGGAATTATAAAAACAAAAACAATAATAGAGGAAACGAAAAGGTACAATCAGAAGAAATCCTTCAGTTAATGAAGATACAACCACTTTTTATGAAGAAAGTAAAAGAAGGTTACAGCACGATTGCCACTGGCTTCTATTCTGAGCCATATCTCATAACGTCTCTAGCCACTGTGTTACACCGTCTTTCGGACGCCAAACAGGGAGTCGTGAAGGACCAACAGAAGCTAGCCCTTTGCAACTTTCTTTCATGCCACGACACCATGTCATATACTGACCACCTCTCCGCTTTTTCCAACCAGTCCCAGAGTCGGCAAATAATGCACGATGAGGAATTCTCTGGGACGACATTCGTAGAACATGTCCAAGCCACCGAAGTCGGTGTTTCAAGATGGTGACACCAATGGAATTATCGTCTCTGTGCCCGAATACACGATGCCGAACCTCTGCATTACTAACATGGTGTTGCCACTCGGTGTCAGCAATCCTTCGGAGACAGCGGTGATCGAACACAGAGAGTCGTCTAACATCCTCAACTCGGAGAGGCCAGGTTTCACAACCATAGATAAAAACTGCTCTCACCGATGCGTTGTGGATCCGACCTTTTACAGCCAGACTAACATCACGAAGGCGCCAAACATGGCCCAGATTGACATAAGCCGCTCTGGCTTTCACTATACGTGCATTGATCTCATCACTCACACCACCACCAGCACTTATGCAGCTACCTAGATACACGAACTTCTCGACTACTTCTATCGGCTCACCATCCAGAGTGAGTACAGGATTAGAATCCTGCCAGTCTTGTAGAAGTACTTTGCACTTCGAAGGTGCAAAGCACATACCATACCTACGGACATTGATTGCCAACTGATTAAGTGCGGATTGCATAGCTTGAACATTCTCGCACAGTAAGACAATATCATCCGCATACTCAAAGTCGAGAAGTCTTTCTCCAGACAACAGATCTACACCACCATTACTTACATCCGTCAGAGCTGTTTCCAGAATGTCATCGATGGCAGGGTTGAAGAGGAATAGTGAGATTGGGCAACCCTGCCCTTACTCTGTCTGAGGTGTTTGTATAAAGGGCCTTCTCAGGCACACCCTTCTTCAATAGACAATCCCAGAGAACAGTTCTGTCCAACGAATCGAAGGCAGCCCTCATGTCAAGAAACACTACGATTGTTGTCGTAAACAACACCCCCGCCACGAGAAGGCAGTGAGTAGGACTTCACTGGCAGAGGCTGTATACGCGTGGCCGTGTGAGAGTATTTCGAGAGGGATGGCGAACCCACCCCACTCTCGGCCATACCAGGGCATTTGAATAACATCTTTAAACCCTAATCTTTCTGATTACTACTTATACTTTTACTACCTCTACCACTATGGGATTTGAATCGACAATTGTATCTCTGTGCTAATGTGGTATGGCAACTCGAACTGATGTACGTACGTACGAAGTTCTATGTCGTTGATAACTGACCATAGTTTAAAAACTGATCGTACACAGTAACTACCTGCATAAGATAAAAATACCAATCCGATTCAAACCCGTTGGCTTCCGAAGTGCCGATGAAGGAAGATCCGATAAATAACTACAAATTTAAGAATTATCTTGGGTTGCACCTCAGGTACTCAAAAAGAATCGAGTCATTCGAAATGAATGAAATATTGTACGGCAACCTAGTTATGAGCAAAGTGTATGGATGTAAACGAGGCAATAATCGAAACAAGTGGTAGTTGTGCATAAAGCCAGCATTTAAGTCTAAGCATCAACACAAATAAAGAATGTCAACCACGGTAAGCGGATTGAATATTTAATCTAAGGAGGCTATTAGCTCACAAAAGTAGTTGATTCTGAACAAAAACAAATGATTAATAAGAGATCTTAGTGATAAAATTTTCAAAGCCACTAAATCTTACATAAGAAATTACTTAAAAATCACAGTTTTACAACAGGAATGCATATAGATAAATGGATAGGATTCCACAACTCACCAGTAGGAATGCATGGAAACAGCAGTCACTACTATAAAATTCATCATAGGGGTATCCATATAGAGTGCGACTGGATATAATGGCAACATGCTTGCAGCTAGAATACGTTCAAACGTCCAGTGATATGATGGTAACAGACCGGTTCTCTGAACAGCTGGTGCTATATAGTAGAGATACAAAAGTAATAAGTGATTTTGAAGGAGCAAATGCCCAGTTCAGAACAGTAGTTAAAACTCATGAAGCAATCGTCATCAGGATTGTAAACATGAAACAGATTATTAACCTACAGTTTTCCTCTATTTCTTATTTAATTTAACAGGAAAATATGCAACCTACTATTCGCAAAAAAAATTTGCCAGCTTTATGTAAGCTATATGAAACGCAACCACTTCAGTGGTGGACTCAAAATTTAATAACATTGTACTCAACTATCCAAAAAACTCAATAGCAAAAAGCGACTGCACATCGCCCCGTCATTTTTGTCGAAACTCGCGATAACATTTGAATATTAAAACTTAGGTACAAACTCACTTATATAGGTTTGAATAAACGAGGTTAATATTGAATCTATGCAGTAGTTTAATTAATTTGAGTATTATTTATTTCGTGGTTATATCATACCCAAGCAACATTGGAAGTATACAAACGATTGAACACTTCCAAGTTGAACTTCTTTACTTTGAGACAGTGACTGCTCTGACCATTGTTATATCTGGGGCTGGTATTATAGCTTACTCTAACAAACAACATGCACTGGGGAAATGAAATGAAGTCATAACATCTGAGCCGGAAGTCCGTGCCCCATTTCGATATAGCTTACTCAGTGCTTTTGCCGCGAATAGGTCTCGTATGGAAACTAAATGCATGTAGTACAATCATGTTTTGTGTTTAAAAGACGTTTCATAGTCATGCAGTAGCATGAACCAGTTTGGTATACAATAAAGATGATAAAGTGATTATTAAACGTTAACTGTTTCCCTAAGCTCGAATAAAAAGTCATCGTAATTCCTTGTATGACTATAGATTTAGAAAGTAAGTCGTCTGTATCACAACATAACCGTCTAAAACTTGCTTGGTGGGTAGGCATTAGCAACTGGCTTTCGTCTCATTAAAACCATGAGAAAGGAGAATTGACGAGAGGCACACCAGATTCTTTAATTATGAGGATATTTTGGAGGGAAATATTTACAACGATTGGTGGGACTTCATACTGAAAGGCACAATCAGAGAGCATAATATCGTTTTCTTACAAAAGCGGCTCCAGATCTCAATTAAAAAAGAATGAGGAAATGAGGGCGAACTTTGAAGAAATACGAGTGATATAGGCTATGAATTGATTGACATTAACTCAGGAGACTTTGCAACAAACATGGACTTTTCCTCGAGGCGGAGATTCAATAAATTGACACCTTGGTGATCACCAATTTTTTTAAATTTACACGCCAGCGAATGACTCGAGTCATGCATGGTAGATCAATCACCATATTATTACACTGTCGTACCACATAACAAGAATTTATAACCCCTGAATTACAAAAGCAAAACTTAGTGCTGACCTAAATTAAGTCTGTTATCCAAAAAAACATGGGACAAGAAACATGGTAATTTTAATTTAAAGACCATGTTATCCTAACTTTACATTACCCGTTCCAAGTTTATTAGATTTTAAAGCATGATCCTGAGTGATGGGGCGACAAATTGGTAAAATACTTCGAGCAATCAGTCGTGTGGAAAGTAATCTACATTGGTAGGAGTATGCTAGCATCTTGAACAATGCTCAGTTCTCAATTAGCGCGGTGAAACTCGGTTTCATATTCAAATTGTTGTGGAAAGAGAAGGAATGTAATATGTCCATGAATTTGTAGTCCATCTGCCTTTCAATGTTGTATATGTGTTAAATATTTAGCATTTTCCGTCTATTTATAGAGTAAATGAGGCATATGAGAGTATAATTTCCACTGAGATATTTCATTTCAAGCCTGGTCACGGTAGAGTGTACACAAAAGATAGTAAGATCAGCAAAACTGGACTTCCTTTGAAAATCATATAGATATACGCAGCCATGATGCATTAAATAAATGGAAAGATGCTTAGAAACTATAGATATCACTTTTATTGAAAAAAGAAAAGAAGTATGGTTATCTTCACCCAAGGTAGAAGCCTTGGTTTAGGTTACCTGAAACTGAGGTACATTACTATCACATTCTTGCAGGTTTTATGAGCTTAATGTATCTATATCCCATTTTAAAAGCGAAACTCATAAAACCCATAGATGTATGACTTCACGATGTAGATGAACCGATTCACTCTTTTTAAGACTGAAAGTCAACTCACTAAAACCTGCTTTTTCAGATTTAAATCTCATTTTTGGGAAATTTCGTCTTTCCTCCTGGTTGCAGACATCTCTTCTTAACTATACATGGTCATCAAACAAACGAGTCCCACATTGTGTCTGCTTGGGCTAAAAGCGTGTTCACAAACAAAACGAACTGAATATAGCACAGAACCCCATAGGATTCGTTCTACCTTACCCAGGTGTTCAGATAGCTATCAAGCTTACCATTTAACGATTATGTTTATCTAGAGTTAATAAAAATGTAAAGTGATAGGCATGTTTCCCCAATAGATTGCCAAAATCTAAAGTAGACAGCAATGAAATACGTGAATCAAATGGCTACAGCCCGAAAGCATGAACTTTAGTTCTGTGAAAGATGCACGTTTCGTATTCAGCTTCTTAGTCGATTCCCTTTTTGAAATCAATTATGGCAATGAAGATCATAAATCACGACTAGCATTAACGAGAAGACTTGAATGTTTTCCGGTAACTAGACAGACTCCATGAGCTCTAACACAAATTTGAGGACCTCGGAATATCGTGACGCTTATGTCCATTTTGTTGAAGGCACACAAATTAGCATATTTCCTAACATTTCCGTTCGTTTCTCCCAGCCCACGACGTTTCATGATCCCTTCGTATCCAGTGTTATCCATTCCGACTTTGACGTTTAGGTCTCTCATCAACATGATCAGGTAGTTTTCTGGGCATCTCTCCACAATCGACTGAACCCTCTTGTAGAACCGATTTTTTTAATTTTGGGCGCACAGTACTGATAGCATTTATTGCACTGCCCTAATCCTTTGTTTTTAAGTGCTAGGTGACATTGGATCCACGAGATTCTGATTCTATAAGTACGACTCGTGCTGCTTTGAATAGCGTCAGTGAAATCCCTTGTGAATGTGAATCATTTTCTTCTTTATGACTAAAGCACGGCACCATCTCACCGTACCAAATATTTTATGCCCAGCTTGGGCCTAACGGGTTTTACTTATTCAGAGAACTGCAAAGTTGTATCTCCTCATTTTCGTGGCTACTCGACTAGTTCTTCTGGTCGTCTACATTGTTTAGACATCCCATGCGCCTATGTCACCTATTTCTCTGGACGTCAGGAAAGAAATCCTCCTCGTGACTTTCAAAAAATCTCGACTCTCCTGACAAAAATTGTGATTCTCTTGAAAGAATATCCTTCAACCCCCTGGACAAAATTTGTGGGGTTAAGTTGGCTTTTCCTGGTTGACGTTTTTCGAGCAAGGTTGTTTTCTTCGGTGTGTGCTGGCTAATCCCGTGCCCAATCCCTCCCGTTTATCTGGGCTTGAGATCAAGAGTAATCCTGGAAGGGCCTCAAGTGGAGTTAACAAATGATTTTTTATGCAATAGTACTGGACCATGAGCTCTCGGTTGTTGTAATCAGCTAAAATATTACACCTCGTACAAGTTGTGATCTTAGAGAAGGCATATATGGTTTAAGCTTTACAATTACGTCACCAGTTTTGAATAGCGTGGAACAAACAAAATATTCCATCCTACGTACATAGATGGATCAGAGTGATCACCATCATCAATGTTTTCTGGTTAGCAACTCAGCTCTCCATTCTTTTTAGATGTCAGGCTCTTTCAAAATGATGGTTAGATCCCAATTATATCATATTCCGAACTCTAAGTTCCACAACCTTGTAGGGCTATTGAAATGTTACCGGTCTCTATGCAAACCAACCGGTGGTCGGCTTACTGAATACCGAACAGTCCACCGACCCTTATCAAGGTCAAGGACAGCCAACACAAATCAATCACGTCCATCATCTTATCGATTTCTAAATACAGTGATCATATGTAAACATTTGCAACCTCGAAATTTATCACAATCTATTTTATCTGTCACCGGACCCCATTTACTTACTACCCCACTCACTCCTCTCTATTTTTGAATTCCGTTTACAAATGCCCAACCCGTTTTTGCAGACATATACATATAAATATTTGTTATTGATAGCCTTCTTCATTCTAATTCTTTTCATAACCAGTGTCACATTATATTTTACTTCAATGTTACATTTAGACACATATATGGTTGTAACCAGCTGATGAGAAACTTGTGGTGGATCAGACAATATATTAACCCAAAAGATAATAACAGTTATTAATAACAAATAATAATATTTGTATATATATATATATATATATATATATATATAAAGTTAAATGTTTTAAACAGAATAGAAATAAGGAAAGTTACTTAGTTCACCAGGGGAGTGCGTGTTCTAAGTTGGTCTGGTACCAAATATCTACAATTATAGATGGTTGATAATTCCAGTAAGTTTGATGGATTACCCCAATGATATGATCCAGCGTAGCATAGGGTTTATTCCAATTACAGTCTGTAAAGGTAGATGGTGTCTGATTTAGACTTCGGTTAACGCAAACACGAGTGAGTGTAGAATGAGACGTATGTGTATAGTAGTGTATTTGGGAACAACCACAAGCGTGTCACGCCATGTTAGTATCACAACGGAAAAAGTGTCCAAGGTCATTTACTAAAACAACAGGTACAGTGATTTAATAATAAATGTACATACAGTGAAAGATTGACAAAATAAATGCAAATAATATTAAAAACTATTTACAAAATAAGTTTGTCAGACATATCTCCACATGGCTCCCTCCCAGAGTGTCCGGAGGTACACTGGTTATATTAAAAATATAAGTATATATAAGAATATGATATATACATGTATGTAAAAATAATGTTTACAGTAATAACCAACAAAAAAATTTTCTTAAGTATATATATATATGTTAACTCAGCCTGGAGCCTCTTTCCGGGGGCCCGGATAAAGGAGGAGGGTTGGGCATGGGGTTAGCGACCCCATCTTGTAGAAAAAAACTCGCTAAAAAACGCTAACCAGAAAGAATTATTCAAAACATTTAAACTCTGCCCTGGGAGTCAGGAGGTCTTCGTTTAGAAGAATTATGACGCCTCATGATGAAAGCCGAGTTTCTTCGGAAGTCACAAGGCCGATGCCCCTTCTGACAACCAGAGCAACCATTTATTTAGGTACATGGAATGCTCGCACAATGTGGGACACTGGGAGAGTTTTCCAAATTGCTGCAGAAATGAGGAGATACAATTTAGAGGTGCTTGGGATCAGTGAAACACATTGGACGCAAGTTGGACAACAACGACTAGCTTCAGGGGAGCTGCTGTTGTACTCCGGACATGAACAAGAAAATGCTCCACATACACACGGAGTTGCATTGATGCTGTCCAAACAAGCACAAAATGCACTTATAGGATGGGAATCTCATGGACCAAGGATCATCAAAGCCTCCTTCAAAACAAAGAAAACGGGGATTACAATGTATGTCATCCAATGCTATGCGCCTACCAACGAATACAACGAAGACGCTAAAGATCAATTCTACGATAGGCTGCAATCAATCCTCGAGAAGTGCCCAACAAAAGACCTGACTATTGTAATGGGAGACCTAAATGCCAAGGTTGGAACTGACAACACCGGATATGAAGAGATCATGGGACGACACGGACTGGGGGAAAGGAACGAAAATGGTGAGAGATTTGCAAATCTATGTGCCCTCAATAAACTGGTCATAGGCGGGACTATATTCCCACATAAACGCATACACAAAACCACATGGACTTCACTGCATCACACTACGCAAAACCAAATCGACCATATCTGCACCAACAAAAAGTTCAGGAGGAAGATGAAGGACGTGAGAACAAAGAGAGGAGCTGATATAGCATCAGATCATCACTTGCTGGTCGCCAAGATGAAATTGAAACTCAAGAGGCACTGGACAACGGGGAGGACACTATCACAAAAATTTAATACGGCTCTTCTTCGGGATAATGACAAACTCAATGAATTCAAGATAACCCTCAGCAATAAGTTCCAGGCCTTTCATGATCTACTCAATGGAGAAGGAACTACTATGGAGAGCGACTGGAAAGAGATAAAAGAGGCAATCACTTCAACATGTCATGAAGTCCTCGGCCAAAATAAGCACCACCACAAGGATTGGATCACTGTTGATACACTGGATAAGATTCAAGAAATGAGGAACAAGAAAGCAGCAATCAATACCAGTCGAACAAGAGCAGAAAAAGTCAAGGCACAGGCTGAATACACAGAAGTAAACAAGCAAGTAAAAAGGAGCACCAGATTCGACAAACGTAAATATGTGGAAGATTTAGCAATGACGGCGGAAAAGGCTGCAAGAGGAGGAAACATGAGACAACTGTATGACACAACAAAGAAAATCTCTGGAAATCACCGTAAACCAGAACGACCAGTGAAAAGCAAGGAAGGCAAGACAATCACCAACATTGATGAACAACGAAACAGGTGGGTAGAACACTTCAAAGAACTCTTGAATCGACCAGCCCCACTGAACCCACCCAACATCGAAGCAGCACTCACGGACCTCCCAATTGATGTTGGCGCACCAACAATTGAAGAGATC